GCTGCTGCTGCTGCTGCTGCTGTTGCTGCTGCTGCTGCTGCTGCTGTTGTGTCTCCTTGAAGCGGAGGTTTAGGCGTCTAGCCTGAGAAGAGACAGCAAATGCATGCATCCAGGTGTATGTACACCGCACACATCTATTACTGAGCAGCAGCAGCAGCAGCAGCAACAGCTGCAGCAGCAGCAGTAACAGCAGCAGCAGCTGCAGCAGCAGCAACACAGCAGCAACACAGTAGCAACACAACCAGCAACCAGCACAGCAGCTGCGAAAATACCAGCACAGCAGCAGCAGTACCCGCAAAGCAGCAGCAGCAGCAACAGCAGCAGCAGCACAACAGCAGCAGCAGCAGCAGCAAGACAGCAGCAGCAGCAGCAGCAGCAGCAGCAAAGGTAACCTGATAGTCTCTACAATTGGAGACAGAAGACACCTCAACGAAACGCCCTAAACTAGGCATCCACACCTGAGGTGTATACACAGCAAAAAATAAAAAAAAATAAAAAAAATAAAAATAAAATAAACAAATAAATAAATTAAATAAACAAATAAATAAAACAAAAGTGCGAATAAGGATACAAACAGAGACAGCGAGACGGAAAGAGACAGAGACAGAGAAAGAGACAGAGAAGGAGACAGAAAGAGACAGAGAGAGAAGGAGACAGAAAGAGACAGAAACATAGGAGACAGAGAAAGAGACAAACACAGAAAAGGAGACAGAGACAGAGACAGAAAGAGACGGAGACAGAGGAGACAGAGACAGAGAAAGAGACAGAGAAAGAGACAGAAAAGGAGACAGAGAAAGAGACAGAGAAAGAGACAGAAACAGAGGAGACAGAGGAGACTGAGACAGGGGAGACAGGGGAGACAGGGACGACAGAAAGAGACAGAAAAGGAGACAGAAAAGGAGACAGAAAAGGAGACAGAAAAGGAGACAGAAAAGGAGACAGAAAAGGAGACAGAGAGTTGAGGTGTATGTACACCCCATCCTCTGAGTGTGTTTTCTTACCTCTACGTCAAAACAAAGAGCAGCAGCAAAACCCATCTCCCCCGCACACAACCTAACCACGCGATACGGCAGCAGCAACATCCTGCAGCAGCAGCAGCAGCAGCAGCAGCAGCACAAGCAGCAGCAGCACAAGCAGCAGCAGCAGTAGTAGTAGTAGAAGCACGAGC